CGGCCCAGTAATGCATAATGGGATAACAGATGAGTTTCTTGGCGGCCGAAGGCTCATCGCAATTTTGGTCATCCCTTAGATAACAAGAAATAGACCGAGCCCTTTCGCATTATCAAATATTTTTTCAGTTTCGTAAGGTGCGCTGCAAAAGACTAGCCAAGAGCCATGCACATCTCACCATGCTATTTTGCTTGGCGAATTTTTACAAATGTAGAGGCGTTTTTACGCCCTAAATGGGCCAAAAATAGGGGGGAACAAATTAACCTCAGATTTTTTCTATTAGACACATAAAACCAAACAAAATCAATTGTTTGTTCAAGTGTCCTCCATTGGGGATTTTCTTTGCTAATCAATGAACTCACCATCTAATGGAAAATTTGGGTTAATGGCACGATTTGACCTCATTATTTCCCAAAAAAAATTATTTTCTGGAAATAATGAGGAGCTCAACTGAGCCCGCTAAGAAAGATTTTGCACTGTCCTGTGTTTCAGCAAGCGGTCATAACATCGATCCTACAAAAATAAGACCAAAAGCCTCTTAGTCAGTACCTATTTGTTCAGAAAGTGGAATTAAGTCCCTTTAAACTGTCGACGACGCGCATGCAAAAGGGGCTCGGTATATCCTGAAGGCTGGTTTTTTCCTTTGAAAATCAAATCATGGGCAGCCTTGTAGGCAATCCCATCGAAGTTAGGAGCCATATCTTGATAAAAGGGATCGCCTGCATTTTGCTGATCCACTACCACCGCCATTCGTTTTAATGCCGCTTCGACTTGCTCTGCTGTACAAATACCATGCTCCAACCAGTTGGCAACATGCTGACTCGAAATTCGCAAAGTTGCCCGATCTTCCATAAGACCAACATGATGAATATCTGGAACTTTTGAACACCCCACCCCTTGATCAATCCAGCGTACCACATAACCCAAGATACCTTGGCAATTGTTATCTAGCTCATCTTCAATATCTTTTGAAGTAAGATCTTTAGGGTTGGCCATTAATGGAAGCGTCAAAATATCATCAATCGAGGCACGAGGGCGAGATTTGAGCTCTTGTTGACGCGCTTGAACATTGACCAAATGATAATGCATTGCATGTAAGGTTGCCGCAGTCGGTGAAGGAACCCATGCTGTATTAGCACCTGCTAATGGATGGGCAATCTTGACCTCTACCATTTCTTTCATCAAGTCAGGTTTAGCCCACATACCTTTACCAATTTGTGCATGACCAAGCAATCCACAAGCTAAACCATTATCAACATTCCAGTTTTCATACGCTTTAATCCACTTCTCACCTTTCATGAGCTCTTTGGGCACAACAGGCCCTGCTAACATGCTAGTATGGATTTCATCACCAGTGCGATCTAAAAACCCTGTATTGATAAAAATAACCCGTTCCTTAGCTGCACGAATACATGCTTTTAGATTAACCGTCGTACGGCGCTCTTCGTCCATGATACCAATTTTGAGGGTGTTTTTGGGCAATCCCAAGGCCTGCTCAACACGATCAAACAATTCACAGGCAAAGGCAACCTCTTCTGGTCCATGCATTTTAGGTTTGACGATGTAGACAGAGCCTTTGCGAGAGTTTGCTAACTTATTGTTTTTAATAATATCGTGTTTTGCAATTAAACTTGTCACCATCGCATCCATGATGCCTTCTGGAACTTCTTGCCCATTAAACAAGATTGCAGGATTGGTCATCAAATGCCCAACATTTCTCACTAACAATAACGCACGCCCGTGGAGCTTATAGTCGCCACCATTTTTTGCGGTGAAGACTCGGTCACTGTTCATTTTACGAGTCAGCGTCTTACCACTCTTTTCAAAACTTTCCTGTAGATCACCTTTGATCAAACCTAACCAATTACTATACACCTCAACTTTGTCCTCGGCATCTACCGCTGCCACAGAGTCCTCGCAATCTTGAATCGTGGTAATGGCAGACTCCATCATGACATCTTTGACGTGGGCCAAATCAGTTTGACCTATCGCCGAAGCACCATCAATTTGAATTTCCAAATGTAAATTATTGTTTTTAAGCACAATTGAACTTGGATCAGACGGCGTGCCTGCATAGGCAACCAACTGCTCTGGATT